GCCAAAGGCCACGTAAGCGCTGCGCGTCAGCGCTGCGCGGGGGGAGAGCACGAGAGGGGGGAAGCCCCCCTCTCGTTGGGGGGGTTTGGGGGGCCGTCCCCAGAAAATTTTTAAAATTGAGAGTCTCTCTGGTGTATTTTAGAGTCATTTCTGAGCAAATAACCAACGAAGTAATACTGATGTTTTCAGTACATTCATGTGCCTGTCGGTACATTTTACGACTAAGAAAATAGAATATTGAAAATGCATCTATGTTTTGGACAACTAAATTTAAAGGGGCAAATAAAGAGTTCGCGATGCATCTAAGTTAGCGAAAAAAAAGAACCAAATACAAAAGGAAATGCCGCCTCTTTATAGACCGGATCACTTAAATCATTTTCCGATCGCGGGGAACGCGCGGTCACAACCGATCGCAGCACTCAAATACACTAACGGATAACATGTGACAACATGTGAAGTAACGGCCATGGCGACGGAGCGCCGCGCACGTGTTTACCATTTTTAAGAGTTCACAAAATTTTTAGGACAATACTAAATTCTGGAGCGCCGGGTGTCAGCGGAAGACACACATTAAATGGGGCCATCTTGTATGCTGTAACCTGGCCGGACCACGGAGAAGTTAGCTCGGCGTAGCTACATGTAGTTTATAAAAATTCGATTGCGGAGGAGTGACCCTGTGCTACCGAATTTAAAATTTGATGCAAACCAAAACAAGAACGAGGGGCTACTGGGGCTTACTATTCTGAACGGGAACGAGCGAAAAGGTTTTGAAAAAATATATCGTAAACTACTTCTTATGTCACAAAATCAAAGGTGGAAAGCTTCTCGTCGCTGGGACATTCCCACGTGTTACCAAGACGACGGCACGTCCTGATCAGACAGAGCGGCGTCACGCCCTCAGCACAGGCATTGGCCCCGCCCACCGGGCGGGCGGCAAAAGATTTCAAAGGCCCAAATATTGTAGCAAACCGTGCCGTGTACATATACCCCGCATTTTCACTTCGTACCGCTGGCTGGTATAGTCCCGCTCCAAATTAATTTTCCTGCAGCATTTCTTAGGATTTAAAGAGATTTCGTGATACGAAATGAAAAGATTTCTGTCAACTGAATCTTTGTAACGGCATGCATTACATGGATATAATCTTTGTTAAAGATTTCTGTGTTAACTAGAGCCGAAAGTGCATTAGAACTGGCCATCAGTTGAGGCACAATTACCATGTTTGTTTGTTTGTTTGTTTTTATTTATTTAACCAGGGGGATACATATCGCCCGTGGGGCGCTTTTCAATGAGCCCTGGGCCTGGGGAAGACCCCAAACAAAAACATCAAGCTCAAACTAATACAAATAATCAACAAAAGTAACTTATAAAGTTACAAAAGTTACTAAATAATACATGTTATATTCATGTTACGTTACACGACGACCAAGAACGTTCACGGCTTGCAGACCATTTTAAATCTTACCAACCCTCTTAGAATTGCGTTTACTCTTACGGGGATATTTATTTTCTTTGCACTCGGGACGTGAGTGGCCCAGTACATTTTCTTACCGTGCGCCGAGTCTTGTTTTACTGCAACGTCGTGTTAATATCGACGATAGATGGGAGGCACAAAGGCTAGGGATTCACACAGGGATTCACAGTAGTTAACAAGTAATCGAGTCTAGGCGTGGTGGGGCGTGCCCGCTAATAGTGTAAAATCTGGATTATTAACACGTGCGCGGCGCTCCGTCGCCCCGGCCATGTACTTCTACAGTCCGTGACGTATCCGGGAAGAACTGGTCGTAACCATAGGCTTCCTTTCTATTCTTTGTGTTATTTTTTTTTCTGCGATTTTGTGTTTGGCCAGTCGTCTAAATTTTTTTTGCCCGGTCGAACGGGGGGGCGCGCGCCGGGTGCGCCCCCCCTCTGGATCCGCGGGTGACTTGAGCTAGTTGACTTGAGCGAAAATTTCCCTGTGTAAAGAGAAATAATTCAACTCAAGTCGCATTCTAATAAAGACGACTTGAGTCGTATCCAAACCAGACTTAAGTTGGCCAGCGGGGTGCCGAGTCCGCTAACTTTGCGTGTGTAAACGGGCGAAGTCGACTTGAGCATCTCTGCGTAGTAGTCAGACAAGTCCGAGCCACCGAGTTGACTTGTGGGGAGGGTGGCACAGCGGGAGTGCCAAGTCGCTTTGTGGCCCTGTGTGTAAACAGAAATTTTTCAAGTTGACTTCGCTGAGTCGACTTAGAAATGGTGTGTGTAAAGTGGGCCATAGTTATTCCACAAACACTAAGTAGAAGGTACTACGTTTATCATATAGTATGGTGGCTTCCTTAGTAAAAACTCAAGGTTCTTCTTTAGCACATTAGACATCTGAGTGTGTGACATCTCTGATTTCTTCTTTTCCCTTTGTTCAGGTATGCCCCGTCTCCAAGAAAGTCCACACTACCAGGAGAAAAACTCTGGCCGTCTTGACTGAGGGGAACACTCAAGTGGTGTGTATTCTACTGAATTGTATTTTAGATCTTTCTGGTGACAAAACTTAAAAAGCTGCAGTTTCAAAATCTTTTTATCCTAATATCCAAATATTTTGTTTAAGCATTTTCAGTGTTTTCCTGATGTTTAGCATTTAGTTTTTTGTGTCTGTTGTTTGTTAATTCTCATAATAATATTTTTTTACATACATGATGTATTTTTGTCCCATTTAGGTTTTCTTGGATACTCCAGGATTTACAAATACAAGCAAAGCTGGAAGGTGGGCATTTTTGGTGTCTCTTTATGTTTAAATGTGTTACCACTGAGTTATTTCCACATGGTAGATACTGACAGGAAGGTAGCTCAAAGGTCCCAGAAAAGGTTATCTCATTTTCTGTCTTCAGTTGTCTTCTATAATCATGTTAGTTTTGGGGAGCTACAGGAAAAAAACATTTTTTTAAAGATATTTTTCACTTATTCTGTCTTAAAAGACAGAATGAGTGAAAAATATACAATTAAGAATGAAAAAAAAACTTCTAACAACTCTTGATATATTTTATAGAGGTGTAAAATTATTGATATGTTCTAAGTCTTCCCTTATTAAATAGTTACAGACCTATTGGTAGCAATTCTCTACTTGTGTTCCACCCTGCATTACTAGAAATCTCATTTACATGTATTTAGTTTCATCTTGAAAAGGGTTGTATGTACCCTTTTTGTATGTGAATAGCTTCATCATATTGGGAAGTCACTGAATAAGAAGAATTCATTTTACTGGTGTTTTATTCAGTCAATGTTTCGGTGACCGTCTGTCACCTTCCTTATATAACTATTATAAGCAGCGATACCTATGCTGTACAATGTGAACCAGTCAGAGTCTCCCTGAGGAAGGTGACAGATGATCACTAAAACATTGGCTGAATAAAACATTTGTGTAAAAAAAAAATTTGATTCAATAGTTTGAGTTTATACAATTTTTCTCATCTCCTTTTCTTGTTGGTTGAAAGTGTGAGGCCAGCAGATGTGTATACAATGTCATGTATGTGTCATAATATTACAAATTGATGTAAGTTAACCTTTAGCTTGCTTATTTGGCAGTTTGGCACCATATTTTGCACTTGTTACAGGGTAATACAGCAGGGAGAAGGTTAACTTAATTTCTTATTTCCTTCAGGCATCATCTAGAAAACACCCTGGTGAGAGACCCAAAATCCAGCATGTTGGAGGCAGACTTGAGTAGGTGGTCTTTTGGTCTCATAAGCTAGTTATTCTGCACCTAGTGCTGTGTACCGGTTTGCTAGACTGGTTCCGGACTTTTAAAAATGTTTAGGTTCAAGTCCAAAAAAACTTAAAAGTCAAGAACCAATTCCAGACTTTTTAACAAAAAAAATGTCACATACCCCTTTCTTCCCAAACTACCTAAAATCTTCCATAGATTGAAAAATCTGTGCTGCAAAATGAAGAAAACATTGCCATCGGGCATCGTCGAGTGTCAGCCTCCATTTTATGTGGCCACAGTTTTGCCCATACAATATTGCAAGGTTGCCAACATGCAATTTTGTATATGTCATGGGTTTAGGTCCAGACCTATGAGTCTGGAACTGAACCTAAGCCTCTGGACTTGAATTCGAACCTGAACCTAAATGTGGGTTTAAGTACACAACCCTAACTGCAGTCTATTAGACTTTAATACTGCAAATCCAATAAAAACATGTTGGTGAGACACTCTGGAAAACACCTTGGTGAGAGACCCAAAACCCAGCATGTTGGAGTCAGACAGTCCCTGTGTGTAAACCATCATTTTGCCCAGTGTAAACCGGGCCTTAGAAAATGTTAAGATTTAGCCTCCGTAGCAGGCTTATAGAACTGGGTGTTTGGTGGTCTTCGGCTGTTTTCTGATTAGCCTAGTTCTAAAAACAGGGGTATGTCAACCAGGCCGGCTATATATGTTGTCTATATGCAATCTGAAAATAGCGCATAAGAGGTCCCAAAGACCCTGAAGACCCCCAAAACCTCCAGTTTTTGGCATGCTATGGAGGCTAGTTAAGAGTATCTACCCCAGGAGCATAGGCCAGATACATTAGATATTAGTTATGTTAAGGTATGGAAATGTTGTTTTAAGTGGTTAAGCCATAGGTTTGTCTGTATGTTTGTTCCAATTGCTTCCACTGCAGAGGATATCTATTTCAGCACCAAGGACAGAGACATGGTAAGGTGCTATTAATGAAGTATTTTTTAAAATTCAAAGACAGGCAATGAATAGATCAAGAAATTTACCAAAACAGAGGTATTTTACAGAGGTATAATAAGATTTTCATTTTTTTCTTGTTTTTCCAGTTGCAGTTATGGTGGACCCTACAGAGAGGAATTCTCAGAAGAAGTTGAAGTGGGATCTTCGTAAAGCTCTGTACACCTTACCTAAACCCATACCAACTGTACTCATCCTAAATAAGGTAAAGCTCTGTACACCTTACCTAAACCCATACCAACTGTACTCATACTAAATAAGGTAAAGCTCTGTACACCTTACCTAAACCCATACCGACTGTACTCATCCTAAATAAGGTAAAGCTCTGTACACCTTACCTAAACCCATACCAACTGTACTTATACTAAATAAGGTAAAGCTCTGTACACCTTACCTAAACCCATACCGACTGTACTCATATTAAATAACATGAAAGTTCATCTGTGTTGGTAGTTACATGTTTAAAGTTAAAACTTTTGATCCAACACAAAAATTCTCTCACCTAGAGCTTTCAACCAGTCACTCTGGTCTTCCTCAGTAGACTGACCCATCACCCTACATTGAACCGCGACGGGGGCCGACATCGTCTACCAGATACCTTTGACCAAGTGTTGACGTCACACTTCAAAGAAGCCACGTGACAAGCTTCACTGGGTCAGTCTACTGAGGAAGACCAGAGTGACTGGTTGAAAGCTCTAGTCTAGGTGAGAGAATTTTTGTGTTGGATCAAAAGTTTTAACTTTAAACATATTAAATAAGGTAACACTGTTCTATATCTATAATTTTACCTTTGCCAAGTAGGTTATGTTTTTGCGGAATGTATTTAGTGCTGTGTACCTAAACCCACATTTAGGTTCAGATCCGGATTTAAGTCCAGAGGTTTAGGTTCAGTTCCAGACTCGTAAGTCCAGACCTAAACCCATGGCATGTACAAAATTGCTTGTTGGCAACCTTGTAATCTTGTATGGGCAAAACTGTGGCCACATAACATGGAGGCTGACACTTGACGATGCCCGATGGCAATGTTTTCTTCATTTTGCATCACAAATTTTGCAATCTATGGCGGGTTTAGGTGGTTTGGAAAAAAAAAGGGGTATGTGACATGTTTTTTTTGTAATAAGTCTGCAATCGATCGGTTTTTGACTTTTTTTTTCACTTGAACCTAAACATTTTTACAAATCCGGAACCGGTCCAGTGAACCGGTACACAGCACTAATCTGTATGTGTCTGTCAACACGATAAGCAGAGAAGGCTTAGATGTTTTGGTATTTGGTTGATGGGTAGACCTTGATAAGACCTCAAAATGAGGTCTTGATTTTTGGCCACCTGTTGGATTGTAATGGTACTGCAGCAGAACTTCTGGTTTTGATATCTCATGACTTGGACATGCTATCATTATGAATTTTGGGTGGTAAATAGCTATACAGTATTGTGCTCAGGAATAAGTGACATGAAGTCCCTAGCAGCTTGCACTGAAACTGCAGGGGATATCAAAGGAGAATAACTAAAAAAATGGTGGATTGACATGATTTTTGCTATGTACATGTACATAAGTTATTCAAATTAGGTTAATTTAGTGCTCAAGTTTTAACCAATAAAAGTAGCTGTTACACTGACAACATTACAGTAAGAACTTTTCCCATTGGCTGTTGTATTAAAATCAGGGCTCGAATTCCTTTTTTGCAAATAGGTGCACTGGTGCACCCAACCTAAAAAAATTGGATGACAAAAATTTTTTTTGGGTGCACTATATGAGATAAAATAATGTCTGCAAAATTAATTGTGTTTCATTTCTAAAGAAAAGTACTAACTTAAAGTTTAACAAAGTATTTTGAGACTTACATGTTAAAAATATGCTATACACAACTAATACATTTAACAACTTCACATATGTCAACTGACAAAAATATTTGGGTGCACTGGTGCACCCAAAGAAGAAAAAAATTGGGTGCACAGCTCCAAAATTAAGGTGCACTAAGGTGCACATGCACCCAGTATTTTGAGCCCTGAAAATTAATTATATTTTACTCATTTGTCATTTCAGACTGACTTGATGAGACACAAAACGAAGCTACTGGACATCTCGGCCAAACTCACTTCAGGGGTCATCGGAGGAAAAGCCATACAAACTAAAGATTCAAAAAAGAGACCCACGACTGAACTAAGTCCACTAGAAGCTGCACTGATGCAAGCACGAGAAAAGAAAGCCCTCGATGCAACAAAAGAAAAACTTATCAAAACAGACGCAGAAGAAAGACTAAGAGTTGAAAATATGACAGACTTTGCAACTGGAGAAGCAAAAGAGTTGTCATCTGTGAGAAATTTTGAAGACATCTCTTTGGAAGAAATTGCGGAAGGGCCATCGCAAAGGCAAGAGAGTGAAAAATCAACAGAAACACATGAACTAGATAGACACAAACAGTTGCAACAGACACACCTACAAGACTCAAAGATGACATATGATTCAGATGACATTGTGAAAGATGCTTTGGATGACACTACTGAAGAAGAGACAAAGATGGGACTTGGGTATGACGTAGATGCCTGGGACAAGATAGTGGAGGAAAGAGACAAGACTCTGAAACGGTAGGAATCTGCAGTTGATATACAATATAATTTTACATGTTCTTGTAGGTCTGTTTATGTTTATTATAATTTGCAATAATACAGCATCTTCCAAATGTGCTTTTGTTTTAAACTCTTCTCCTTGTTGTCCCCATATACAGAGATTTTGTTTTCTTTGTGTCTGTTTTCATGTTTGCTAGTGTTTCTAGTAGTTATTTCCACATGCTACTACAGTGCTTGAAATACTGAGTGCATGTAGTGCATCCGAAATTGGAGCTGTGCCCCAAGTTTTTTCTGTGGATGCACCAGTGCACCCAAATATTTCTGTAGGTATTTTGTACGTCATATCAAATGTATAATAGTATGCAGGATATTTTTGGAGTAATTTAGTGTCAGAAAGTACTTGAATGTTTAAGATTTTGAAGTTAGCTCCCATTTCAGATTCAAGCTCATACTAGGAGCAGTAAGATCTGTTATTTGGACAAATGGTTTTTGTTTTACATGGTGCACCCAACAATTTTTTTAGGTTGGGTGCACCTATTTCCAAAAATGAATTTCGAGCCCTGCATGCAAATCATTACTTTCGCCAAGAAGATTATGTTTTCAGAGGCGTTCATGTGTGTCTCTGTCTTTCTGTCTGTGTGTCTGTGGACACGATAACTCGAGAAGGCTTAAATGGATTGTCTTCATACTTGGTAGGTGGGTAGGTCTTGATGAGACCTAGAATATCTAGTAGAAATGATTAGATTTTGGGCCCCCTGGTGGCTTGTTGTGGTACTGCAGCAGAACTTCTGGTTTTGATATCTCATGATGCACGAAATTTGGATGGTACTAGGTAGCTCATGTGCTGGGGAAGAAGTGACGTGAGTTTGGGCCCCCTAGCGGCTTGCTAAGGAACTGCAGGGATATCTGTTTGAAAATATTCAAAAGGGGATATCTCAAGAACCGGTTGACGGATCATCATGATTTTTGGTGTGTACATTTGTAGGTAGCTTACGTGATATAATATACATGTAGTTATGTGACAATTATGAAAATATTTTTTGTTTATGGTTCTTTTCACCAGACAGAAGAACAAGAATCCTGAGAGGACAGCCTTACACCAGGAGATAGCTAAACAGTCCGGCTGGCCAGGGTTTCAGCAGGTCTTCATGATGTCTGCTAAGGAAGGTCACGGGGTGGACAAGTTCAAGGTCAGAACATTCTCAACTCAAGAAGGCCACTTTGACCTTGAATCTGACTTCATATTATTCTTTTTTTAAAAGCTTAAAGAATAATATGAAGTCAGATCCAACGGACGCTGACCACTAAAATTTAGTCTGGGAAAACTAAAAAGATACTTTGGGACATTTTGAGGAGAATAGAAAAATAATGAACATCAGAATGTCAGCCCTTCCTTTGTTTATCAGGAACCCGGCTTTTGGATCCTGAAAAATCCCCCCAAATTTCCTGTCTACTCTGCAATTACAGTGTGCCTGGGAGTGAACTATAGTTGACTTTAAGTTGAAGTCATACTTAAAAAAAACAGGTTGGGACAGTTCATCCTCACTTCAGGACAATTAAAATTAATTTTGGGGGACAATGCTGGGACAATAGGAAGAAAAGTTATTTTCGAGGCCTGAGCATGCATAGTCCAGTGATATTAGTGACCCTGCCTCAGGATCGCTAGGACATGCACACTACTGTACTGGGCCATTAAGCTGTGGTCCACTGTTTATTGTACTTTTTTGAAAGATCTCTGGGAACTTCTGTGGTGCAATAAACCTGCTAATACTGTACAGTACCATTTCAAACATTTCAAACATGTCACACATTTAAGGTAATACGAGAGGAAAAAATAAATAGTAAGTAAGGACGTCCACTGTTTATTGTACTTTTTTGAAAGATCTCTGGGAACTTCTGTGGTGCAATAAACCTGCTAATACTGTACAGTACCATTTCAAACATTTCAAACATGTCACACATTTAAGGTAATACGAGAGGAAAAATAAATAGTAAGTAAGGACCTCTTTTGAGTGACAGTCTCAAAACCTTTTGTTTTCATCTGATAATCTTCAATGTTATTTTTTCCCTTCTTAGGATTATCTACTGTCCATGGCTAAGCCTGGAGACTGGTGTTACTCCCCAGACTTCCTAACTGTCCTTTTTTCACTTCCACAGGACTATCTACTGTCCATGGCTAAGCCTGGAGACTGGTGTTACTCCCCAGACTTCCTAACTGTTCTTTTGTCACTCCCACAGGACTATCTACTGTCCATGGCTAAGCCTGGAGACTGGTGTTACTCCCCAGACTTCCTAACTGTTCTTTTTTCACTTCCACAGGACTATCTACTGTCCATGGCTAAGCCTGGAGACTGGTGTTACTCCCCAGACTTCCTAACTGTTCTTTTTTCACTCCCACAGGATTATCTACTGTCCATGGCTAAGCCTGGAGACTGGTTTTACCCCCCAGAGTTCCTGACAGATCAGAGTGAACATGAGATTGCCTACCATGCCATCAGAGAGAAACTGTTGGAGTATCTACCTCAGGAAGTGCCTTACAACATAGAACAGGTCAGACATATTTACCTTAAACTTGACAATGTGCTATCAAAATATACTGACAAAGTCCCTGTTCATATGAAGTCAGTGAAGGCGCTCAACATGTGGTTTACCCCGAAGCCGGTTTTAAGTGGCTCCATCTGAACGCTCCAAATCACATTGAAAGAGCCTCGATCCCAAACCACTTCTAGAGGTGGTTTTGAATCGGTTTTCCCGCATCGCGATTTGCATCTGAATACAATGTGATTTCAATGTGACCTCTGGCGGGACCACGTCGGCATTCGGCCGAGATACGCTGGGAGGGGGGCACCAGCAAGCAGGTCATTGACCTCTGACATAAATAACACGATACCTTGCGTGTTTTCATCAAACAACAATGAATGCAGTTTCAGAGAATCGTGATTGGACACGGTTTGAAAGGAATATATGGCACGTTGACCAGATGTAAGGAATGCGAGTTACCTGAATCGCGGTTCAGGTGGTTTCATATGAACAAGGCTAAACTCTTGGCATAAAAAATTAAAATGCAGTAGCCCATGTCCCTCTCCTTGGTGCTGAAATAGCTATCTCCTTGAAGAACTGCTATATTAGGCCATGTTGATTTGATTATATCCTCTGAGAACCCCAAAACTGATGCGAGCGTGTGAATAAAAAGAAGTTTGGCCAAAAAAGTTTCCTTCATTATGAAATAAAGGTTGTTCAACCTACGTGGTCATAAAGGTTAAACATATGACTAAACACACAGAGTATGGTATGGCGAATAATATTAATAGACTCTTCATTTTAATTTCTTCACATTTCCTGAATTGATTTTGGCATTCTATGACATACTAATAGTAAGTATGATCATTTTCCAATCCTTTTTTTTTTACAACATATGACATATATTGGCTCATTTTGTACGATTTACAGTATGGTCAAAACTTTTTTGTGGAAGCAAAAGAAGTACATCCCTCTCTCAGCTACCTACACACCAAAAATTATGAAAATATGTTGTTCCTATCTGGCTTTTAAACATTTCGCCAGAAAGTTCCAGAACAATCTGCTAGGGGGACCAAACTCACATCACATATTCCTGACAGGAAAAGCAATCTGTCACCAAAACATCTAGACCATAGCATGTTCAGGACAAAAGATCATACAAAAACCGGAAGTTCGGCTGCAGTACCAAGGTCATCCACCAGGAGGCCCATATTTGACCTTGACCTTTGTCTTCCTAAGACTTACCATTACCAACATACCAAATATCATCATAATCCATAAAGGCGTTATGAAGTTATGCTGACTACAAATGTGCGGAAACACACACAGACAGACACACAGACAGACAGACACACAGACAGACGCGCCAAAAACAATACCTCCATTTTTCAAGGAGGTAATTAATGTGTGCGGATGTCATTTCATATAATCAAATCAACATGGCCTAAAGAAAAATTTAAATGTGCATAATGCATCCTGTATATGGACATCAGGGCTTGAAATCCTATACTTCAGGGTGATGGCTATTTCAGCACTAAGGACAGGGAAACAGTGTGTACTGAACTAACTTCCTAGAGTTTGTTGGTACTTTTTGATACACATTTCTTGAGGTTCAATGTGATAAAAAAAGAACTATAATTGTTACATGGCAATATGGTAGAAGTATATTTAATGAATTACTAAATATTTTAATTGTTTTATCTTATAAAAAAGTCACCATATTTTATTGACATTAGTGTTGTATGCAGCACTGTACATGGCCCAGTGCAGGTTAGGTACAGGTAGAAATCAGAAATACCTGCACAGCTCCAATTTTACCTGCACTAACCTACATATACCCAGTACATGGACCAATACAGGTAAGGTGCAGGTAGACATCAGAAATACCTGCACAGCTCCAATTTTACCTGCACTAACCTGCATATCCCCAGTACATGGACCAGTGCAGGTTAGGTGCAGGTAGAAATCAGAAATACCTGCATAGCTCCAATTTTACCTGCACTAACCTGCATGTACCCAGTACATGGCCCAGTGCAGGTTAGGTACAGGTAGGCCTCAGAAATACCTGCACAGCTCCAATTTTACCTGCACTAACCTACATATACCCAGTACATGACCCAGTGCAGGTTAGGTGCAGGTAGACATCAGAAATACCTGCACAGCTCCAATTTTACCTGCACTAACCTACATATACCCAGTACATGGACCAGTGCAGGTTAGGTGCAGGTAGAAATCAGAAATACCTGCACAGCTCCAATTTTACCTGCACTAACCTGCATGTACCCAGTACATGGACCAGTGCAGGTTAGGTACAGGTAGACATCAGAAATATCTGCACAGCTCCAATTTTACCTGCACTTACCTGCATATACCCAGTACATGGACCAGTGCAGGTTAGGTGCAGGTAGAAATCAGAAATACCTGCACAGCTCCAATTTTACCTGCACTAACATAAAAGCTCCCTTTGACACTATTTTCTGTTAGAAGATATCTATTTCAGCACCAAGGACAGAGCCATGGTAGAATACTATTAAACAAAGTGTTTTTTTTTTACTTCTGAAAACAAGTGCTTTGAAACTTTTACTTCTGAAACCAATGTCAACAAAATACTACATTTTTTTTATATGATACCACAATTTTGATAATATATGTACTTAGGCCACACCAATTTGATTTCTTGGTTAACGGATTTATCTAGGAAAATAATGGAGCGGGCGGGCGAAAAAAAAATAAAAATAAAAACAGGCCTAGGCATCCTATTATGGCCCAAAATGGTACGATAGGGCCATGAAGTCAACACACCGGGCTGGTTCAAAATTTTAACAATGAATTTTGAACTTTTAATGATACCACTGCATTGAAAGATGGAATAACTGTAAGAAGTAGTAAGAAAAGGACTGTTTTCAACTGTTCAGGGAAAAATATGAGCATTTGCAGTTGATTCTGAATTTTTATTTTTATTTGCAAATCAGAAAAAAATGAAGCGGCGAATCCGTTAACCAAGAAATTAAATTGGTGTGGCCTTAGAACTCAATGAAAATATACATGTATGCCAAAAATATAGCATCTTGCCATGTCACTGTCACAATAGTCTTTTATATCACATTGAACTTTTGACACGTGTATCGAAATGAACAAACCACTGGCAAAGTATTTATTTATTTATTTAATTCGATTGCGACGATACAATACACTGGCCACCCAGGCAGCATAGCTGATTTCGGGCGCCAGACAATACAAAGATTAAACATACACAGTAACATACTTAGTCTAATACAGTGAACTAACAAGTAAAGATTAAGCTAAAATCAATCAGTTATCAATATAAAATACAACCAAGCATAATAAAGTACTCAATCAAGATAATAATAGGAATTAATGTTTTGGAGGTCAGAGGTCAAGGGCAATTGGATATAATACAGTATGTGAGGAAATATATACATGTATAACGTAATATTGTAAAAGGTTAACTTATGTGGTACCACGGGAAGGGCCATCTAAACGTTTTGTGGTGGAAATAAATGTTTCAAATGCCTCAAATAGTTGTTTGTTTGTGTGCATGTTACAGCCTGGTAGCCCCTGTAGTAGAACAGATTCGGTTAGACGGTGTGAAGTGAGTTGCTCTACTGTGGAGGTTAAAATGTGACGCTGGCAGCTGTAAAGAGGGCAGCGTAGCAAATAATGGGAAACAGTCTCAGAAGAGGTACCACAGGAGCACATTTTGTCTTTGATATTCATCAAGTGCAAGGTGGCATTTAGTGGGCTCCTGTCCATTCTTAGTCTTGCAGTTAGGATGTTGTAGTACCGAGTACCTAGACGTCTGTACGGCTGGTTATGTCTCGGAGTGAACAGGTAATCCTTGCACTGTCTCTTGAAGTCGTTTAGGCTGCTGGCTTCCTTCAGTGCCTGTGGAAGGCGGTTCCAAAGGGTAGAAGCATGTGGAATAAAACTGGACCGGTACACCTTCGTTCTACAGCGGGGAACATGAAGATGTGTAGTGTTGCGTAGCTGTAGACGAGTCGTTCTCCGTTCGCCTCTAGTGGAGGGGATGAGTGACTGCAGGTGCACTGGGACTAGACCATGCGTCATCTTGTACATTAACACCATGGAGTGGTAGTGTCTCCTAGTAGACAGGCTGTCCCATTCGAGCTCTCGTAGGAGGCTCGTACTGGGGGTCCCCTTCATGGCTCCTGTTGTAAGGCAGCCAGCATGGTATTGAACTTTGTCTAGAGTAGCGCTAGCCGTGCTGCCGAGGTCTCCTAGCAGTACTGATGCATACTCTATCTTTGATCTAATCATGGTGATGTAGGCTAGTTCAAGGGCCTCTCTACTCAGTTTTCCTTTGAGTTTGCAGAGAGCGCCTAGCAGTTTCCTGGCTTTGCTGGACAGTGCAAGTACATGTTCAAGCCATCTCAGAGATTGGTGGATGGTGACACCAAGGTGAGTATATGACGGGACCTGTTCGACGACTTTTCCAAAGATATACAGGGGAGGGAGCTGGACGTTCTTTCTGTCTGACTTCATGCAGACAACCTTGCATTTGTCTGGATGTAGTTCTAATCCCCAATCTACAAACCAGGTAGAGACTGTGCGTAAGTCGGCATTTACCGTATCAGCTACTTCCTGTTACAGTACTGTTCTTGCTGCTTTGTACAAGGAAGTGTCGTCTGCGAAACAATTGATCTTAGACTTGCAAGGAAGGTTTTGGAGGTCGTTGATATATACAAGGAAAAGGAGAGGCCCGAGTATACTCCCTTGCGGAACTCCGGCTGAGGTTGTCCCCCAAGATGAGGTAACGCCGTTAATAGCCACTCGTTGTTGTCGGTCCGTCAAGTAGCTGTTGAACCAGTCGAGTAACTGGCCTCCTACCCCATAGCGGGTCAGCTTGTATATGAGCCCTTGATGCCAGACAGTGTCAAAGGCACGGCGGACATCTAGAAACACTGCCGCTGTACACGCTATCTCGGGGTCCTCGATGGATTTGGCCCAGTCATCAACTAGTCGAATCAGTTGAAGCACGGTACCATCGCCCTTCCGGAATCCTGACTGATGGTTGTTGAGCAATTTGTTGTCCTCAAGATGGGAGTACAAGTTGTTGTGAACCAATCTTTCCAGCACTTTAGCCACAGTTGGCAACAGAGCTATCGGTCTGTAGTTGTGGGGGTCCGTTCGGTTTCCTTTCTTGAAAACAGGGGTTATGTTGCATTGTTTCCATTCAGTCGGAAAGACTCCGGAAAGCATCGAGTGGTTAAATAAATCCCTCAAGGAATTACAAATTGCTGGCGCAGCCTCCTTCAGTAACCTGTTGGAAATCCCGTCCGGACCTGCAGCTTTGTTGGTGTGAAGATTTAGTAATACTTGGAGGACATCATCTTCAGAGAACTGGAGCACGTTTAACTGCTCTGTTGTGAACATAGGAAGCCTCTTTGTCCTGTCTGGACGCTTTGCGTCCTTGGTGACATAGTATGCAGATCCTATGTACCTGTCCTTAGTGCTGAAATAGCTATCTTCTTGAAGTACTGGGCAAATCTATTATGTGCAAGAGAGAATTCCCTTTCTTAATGCGTATTATGTGTTAATGCACATGTACCTATGTCATCATTACTTGATTGTATTTAGATAGTCAAATTTAAAGTTGAATTTGAACTTTCTATTTTTGTAATTCATTTCATCTCTAATTGTCCATTTTATGACGACATGAAAACAATTATTTAGCACCGTGTCCAAAATGCTCCCTTACTTCCCCACCATTCCCTACCACAAAAAACACTACTACTAAAATCAAAGAACCCACATATTATAGAACATGTGGGTAAATTCGTCTTCCATTGCCTAAAAAGAAGAAGTCAAACCCAGTAAAACTATTACCATTTATGTTGTATAATATAGTATAATGCTACTCGGTTGGGTTAAGGCAGCCTATGGCCAACTATGATTAGTATCATTTGATAGCTTGGTCGCACCACAACTAAACTTCACACAGTTCTAGTAGTACTTGAAACACATTGAATAAAGGTTATTTTGTTTTTACTACTTCTGAATTTTTGGGTTAAAAATCAACATTTTGGTTTAAAAAAAGCTGTTTACTTCATGGCTTTACGCGCAAGCGGTAACAACACCTTTCATCGTGATATTTTACAAGTAGAAAGCCAACCCCCTATTTATTATTTTTGTCCGAGGCTATTTTGTTTTAAATGACAGTTACATTGTTTTTTTGGGCCAAAAACGACAGAAACAGCTATTTTTCTGTCATTTTTCGTTAAAAAATCGCCACAGTTAAAAAATTTCGACTTATATGCAAAATAGCCTCGGACAATTTTGATAAAAAAGTGATAATACGTAAACATGGATTACTCTAAAGATGAATTATGTTGTTTTCAGCTGCGCGTAAAGCCGTTTAAGTCATACTCCGTGAATAAAATGCGTAACAACGCGGGTTTACAGGGGAAACATACAAATGACCGCCGGTAACCCCGAATTCGAACACGCGTTCTATTCGAATGACGTCATATCGAACATGGTGGAACATGATTCGGGTTCGAAACATGTATGTGGCAATCGTGCAGACACACGGCGGAACTCGAACATGAATATCAGCCTAGGCCGCCTTAACCCAACCGAGTAGACGTAGATATAGTCTCACATACCACTGTATTTTCTTATGTTGTTTGTAACTGCAATTAGCCCTAAGTACTTGCAATAAACTTTCTTTATTGTATTTTACAGGAGGTGGAGATGTGGGAGGAGGGGGAGGGGGGTGAACTGCAGATTGTCATTCAGTTGATTGTCAGCAAGCCCACACAAGTGGTGAGTAATGTAGCTTTTTAATGCAATCCTATATTTTATAACAATATCTAAGACCACAACAGTTTAGCTCTATTATGTTTTTACTCATTTTCTTCTTCTGTTCCAAACACTAACCTCTGACCTGACCAATGACATGACTTGTTGACGTCTATCACAATGGTGACTGGTGTTGGGTTACATAATGTTGCAATTTCATGGTCTGCTCTACTCCTGTCACCATATACTCGTAGTAGATATATGTGAATGTGTTTGAGAAAAAAATGAACAGAGCAGACCATGTCCAAAGGTAAACATCATGCATTTGCTTTGCAAATGTTACTTCTCTAGTTTATTTATTAATTTCAAGACAGCTTGGAAACCCACTTCAGCTTGCGATATCTGTTTTCTGATGGAGCCCAGCAAGATTACATTTAGTCAAACAGACAACATGCAGTATATAAAAATTTACAGTCCAATGCATCAAAACAGTCTGAGTCCAATGCTTAGTCCTTGCTGTTCCATGGTCAGAATACAAGAGTCGACATTTGGACTGGAGGTCAGAGGTCAAGAGATTACATAAGGCTACTAAATGTTCTTGAATGTTTGTGAATTGCAGTTGACAAGCCAAATCAGTTTGATCCATCATGGTTTGTCTGTTGCTATGTCTTTAAGACATTTTAGAAGAGATGCTAAGAGTCTGATGTTTTGACTTCAGCCCCTGTCACACATTCACAAATTTGGCCTCCCAAATACTACCAAACTCCCCCAACCAGGGTTAAGAGTGGGTCAAAGACAGCCAAATGGTTCAAAATGTTCGTGTGAGGACGGGAGGTTTGGTCTTTCTTAGTTGTGTTGAGTAGATTGGGGCATGGTTTGCAGTGAAATTTGACTCAAACGTCATGCAAATTTGATTTGATTTGTACAGATATAGGTAGGCGTGGCCTAAATCTAATCAGACTGCTCCTGAGCTTTAGCCAAACTTGGTCGGTTGGTGTTCAGGGAAAGGTTCTGAATGTGTGACAGGGGCAACTTGCACTTATCAACAAGACTGCTTAGAAGACACCCTGACATGCTCTTCTTTTTTCTGGCTTTCATAGAATAATTCGAAAAGTGCTTCTTACAAAAACACCTTCAGTGATAGAGGACCAATCAACCATGTGGTTTTCTCTATTCAGGGCTCCAAATTCATTTTTGGGAATAGGTGCACTATAATGCACCCAACCTACAAAATTAGGTGCACAAAACTTTTTTGGGGGGCACCATATAAAACAAAACCTAAGTACAGATCTTACTGCTCCTCTTCTGAGCTTAAATCTAAAATGGGAACTAACTTCAAAGTCTTAAACAAGTACTACAACAAAGATTTTATTATTTTTCTGACACTTAGATGCCACGAATATCCTGTATACTATTATACATTTGATATGTACCAAAATGCGTACAAAAATATTTGGGTGCACCAGTGCACCCACACAAAAAAATTAGGTGCTCCAAATTAGGTGCTCCAAATTAGGTGCTCCAAATTTGCGTGCACTAAGGTGCACATGCACCCAGTATTTCGAGCCCTGCTATCAAACATTAAATTTTATGTGGCAATATCGCTATCTGTGCTGTTTTTTCCACTCCTTTGTTTGAATTTTTTGTATTTTGTCATAATATTTTTCAATGAAAATGATATAAAGTTTCTCTGTGTTCCTGTCCCTGTCAGGCCATGCTGATAGGTCCAAAAGGAGAGACCATCAAGAGAATTGTGAAGGAGGCAGCACAAGAAATGGAGAACACTTTCTTCACTGATGTCTTCCTCAAGCTGGGGGTGAAGTACATGGGGCCTAAAAAGTAACCATCGTCTTATGTACATTTTTGTTTGCTCCAGGCATATACTTTGATTTTGATTTTATTAGTTAACAAAACAGACAATAATAATACAAAACAAGGATAAAACAGGTGCAGGAGGAGGGGAGAAGCATGGAATGCTTATACTAGGCCCTCCTTCTCTAAACTATACAAAATTAAATATACTGGTACTGTAGATCATAATTTTTGTGCATAAGGCCACACTGACTTCATTTTATGGATGACATCCTCTGAAGACCCCCAAACTAGTGCGCGCGGGCGAATAAAAAAAAATTCCGGTCAAAAATGAAAATGCTACTAAACCACAGGAATACAAAGCTGGTATTGTGAATTTGTGGCAGTACATAGCGACATATACGACAAGCCAGCACATGCTGGCTTTTTGCGGAATGTATGAATCGGCGCTGTATGTACTGAGATCCGCCGGCTATTATTGTCACTAACTAGCCTGGCCAGGACAGAGGATCAGAGGACGTGATCTTTTTTCTTTTCTTTTTTTGAGGACAGGTGAAAATCAATGCGCACGCGCGGATGTCATCCATAAAATAAAGTCGGTGCGGCCTTACTTTCATAGTCACGGTTTTCACAGCCACTTGAACTGTGAACAAATTAATTGCCGACTTTCCTTTTACTGCACCTGATGCCACTGTAAATGTATACTAGTAGTTCAGCAAACATGTCTATTTTTCTCGGATTGCGAACTTTTGCTACTGCGAACATGAAGTGATATAAAGTACTCGGTATAGGGGACTAGCTAAGTGCACCTAGTGCCGACTCTGTACAGTGTCTGCAGTATGTATATAGGCAGATAGGCGGCATTAGTGAGTGGTCCAGTATTCAGTTTGTCAGGTTCTGCCCCTTGTGTTGGGAGGTCTTCATTTGCAACTCAAAAGTCAATTGGTTCATTGTCATAAATGAACTTCATAAGAAAGAAAATGAATTTTTAGCAAAGGATAGAAAAGATGGATTCTGTTCGAACAGAAAATAAAATACACGTATGTAGGTAAAAAAAAATGGCAACATTTTTTATATCTTAGACGCTACATGCATATATATTGAGCAATCAGTACATTATCTAGATTAAAAGAAACTTTAAGAAATTCTATCACACTGAAACTATTCTCTTGTTTTGTTACAAAGTGAGCAAATAAAAAGATGAAGCTTCAGTTTGTTGCATTTCTGAGTCACTATACTGTGCCTGCAGTACCTATAAAAGCTGATAGGTGGTGTTAGTGAGTGGTCTAGTATCCAGTGTGCCAAATTTCCATTTAGTTGACATTGGATTATGCTAGATAACTCTGTGAAAGTCGAAATAAATGGCACACAGTCTGTTGATTCCATAGGCTGATTGATTTTGTAACAGTTATCACAAACAAAATTCTTCTTCTTCGCTCCATCGCATATCAGCTACTGCTGAGGCGGGCCTGCATTGATTTCCATCTTGCTCTATCTTGCGCTGCTCGTTGCGCCCCCTCCCACTCGCAACCCATCACTGCAAGGTCTCTTTCCACTGTTTTTCTCCGCGTCATACTTTGCCCGCCCCTCCTTTTTCCTTGCGGACACCACGTTAGCACCACTTTTGGCAGTCTTTGTCTTGGCATTCAAGATATGTGGCCTAGCCACCTCAGCCTTGCTTTTGGTACTAGTTTAGAGAGCTTTGGCTGACCTGTCCTACGCCTGATCTCGTCATTGCTAGTGTGTTGTTGCCACCTGACTTTCAATATGGCCCTACGCCATCTCTGATCTGCAACGTCCAACCGTTTTTCCTGGTTGGAGGTCATTTGCCAAGTCTCAGACCCGTACAGGACTGTAGACAGCACACATGCATTGTAGATCCGTATTTTCGTGCCAATCTTTATGTATACAAACAAAATTCAATCTTTGCAAAGTTAACAAAAATGTATGTCCCACAAAAAAAGCTATCTTTCTTTAAATTGTTATTAGAAATGATTGAGTATTTGCCTTTAACAAAAGTTGATAAGGACAAGGTTACGACATGGCTTTGCTTGTTTCAATGAACAAGCAACAAGGATATGATTTTTTAAATGTTCACTGTGTTTTAATTTTTACTGTAATGTCTCCACTTTAAAATGATGTAACAAAATATGCATATCAATCATGACTTTAACTACTACGTATTGCTGTACTGCAAAATTGTTTTAGCTCCGACTTAAAAACTTCAAACACCTCCCCCCTAAAAATCCAGTGCCTGCAAAAATAAAAGAATTTACAGTACTTTACCTTTGGGGTCATTTACCTCAGATAGTATGACCTTCTGAAGGTCAGATTGTTGTCTAACGTGTCTTCCATAGACAATACTACATTCTCTAGCATTAGTGTACCCAACACAATACAGCTTAGGGCTATTGTCTCACATTCTAGACTAAGAGTACCATATGTTCTTTGGTCAAATTATTCTCCCTCTAAACTAGCTCTATTTCTTTTTGTCAGCATATATATGGTAGGAAAACAAGTAAAAAATGATGCACATTTATATAATTTCCAATTAAATATTTTTTTCCCAGTACAAGTGTATATATCAATATTTTCATGTGTATGAGAAGAGTTTTTAGAGTTAAAGGATAAATTTAGTAATACTGTTAGTTCTTTTCCAAATTTTAAGTGATTTTTAAAAGAAATTGAGCACATTATGAGTGCTGTTGGCAGATACATGCTGTGGTAGGGATTTTTCCTGTACAGATGACTAGACAATGTGAAATGAAGTGAATAATTTCTGACCAGTGTGTGTCCTCTCTCATCCTGTAGGCAGAGTTGTCTGCACAAACCCTAAGGGTGTTTGGATCATTTTCTAACTCACCTTGAATTAGTACTGTTAACTGTAACAGTTACAGTCAAACCTGCCAAGGTGACCACCTCTTAAGTCAAGCTGGCCACCTGTCCACGGTGACCGCTTTTTCTCATCCCCATTGACATGCTCAGCATTAAGCAACCTGTCCAAGGTGACCACCTTTTAGTTGATTTAGAACCAGAATCTTTTTTTTTTTTTGCAAATCAGAAAAAAATGAAGTGGCAAATCCGAGAACCACCAAATTAGATTGGTGTGGCCTTATGACACTGTACAAAAACTACATAGTATGCAAGTGTACAAAAATTAGGTATAATAAGTTGAATTTTTTAAAAAATTGCTACAAGAAAATCTGTCTGCTATATTGTGTGTCAAGGACGTACAGTCAGACTGTATGTTATCTGAGGACAATCAGCTCCAAGTGTTGTCTGAAAAAATTGACAAGTTTGATTGATGTGTTGTGCCTGAGATCTCTGACTTCACAGGTCAGTCACAGCTGTAAGCAGGTTAGTTCCAGTACTGGGTACAGACAATAGGAGGTTTCTCCCCCGTGTTAGGTTACCTGAGGCAAATGGCATCTCTAAAGGTAAGGTCAGGTCAATTGTCTTGTTATGCACATAGCTGTGCTGGAGCCTGGTAGCTCATATAACAGTGGCAAAGAAGAACTGTATATTGGGCCATACCAATTTTACTAACTGGTTCTCAGATTTGCCCACTCATAGTTAAAACAAGGACCATTTTTCCTTTGAGTTATTGCAAGTTTGCCCAGTTCAACAATTTCTAAAAGCACTGTAACATTTATAAATAAATTTATTTGAAAGATTCATAATACCTGAGTGTACCTTTTTTTTAGTTAGTACATGTAGTAATACTGTGACACAAAAAGAGGTCGAGTCAGAGAGGTACCATATTATACACTCCAGCTTTATTGCACCATAGTTTGCAGTTGTCTGCACATTAACAGTTATATTTATAACCAGCAGCTTTTGCAGTTCTAAGCACATGTTGCACCGTTTATGCTAAGTATACAATTCTATATATTTGTGATCAAGCAAAGTGAGAAGAGGGGATGTAAGCATTGTGAGGGGTGGGGGCATGAGCCTTGTGAAGGGTGTGAGCCTTGTGAGCGGTGGGGAAGTGAGCCTTGTGAGGGGTGGGGAAGTGAGCCTTGTGAGGGGGTGTGAGCCTTGTGAGGGGAGGGGAGTGAGGGGTGGGGAAGTGAGCTTGCAAGCATTGTGAGGAACAGTGAGGGGATGTGAGCATTGTGAGAGGAGTGGGAGTGAATGATGTGATGTGAGCCTTGTAAGCCTTGCAAAATATGAGATATGAGCTTTCATTATCAACTTAAGATACCCATAATCCGAACAAATTCAATCTTAATCAAGGTATGATCTTATAGATACTGCAGCTGTCTTTAGAAAGGCCTGTAGCACTCGATCTTCACAGTTTCACTGATATGTTGATTTGGCCTTTTCACCATATTAATTATCATGAGCATTAATTACTTCAAGTTTAAAAGAATCAATTATATAGCAAATCAAGTCACAACATGAAGTTAAACAAAGATTATTGTCCAAAAAGCATGTTATTAAAAATACTATTTTTGTTAAAGGCACACAAAGCAACTTCAGGCCAGTAAAACTGGATTTTCAAAGTCAATTTTCTGGTTGTTTTTTAATGGTCCCCCATATAGCATACTGATATCTGTGAGATAAAATTACGATGTAACTGCTGACAGAAAATGGTGACAGGTTTTGTATTGCAGACTGGTTCTTTCTTTCTTATTGTTGATGGTAACAAAAATCTTGCTTTGGAGCTATTTCAAACCCTTCATGTATGAAAATTAATTATGGCAAAAATGGTTGTAAATTTCTTTTTTTCCTTATCCTGAATATTTTGGTTTTGCTGCCCTGAAATTAAACCTGCATTCAATGCCTTTAACTTAAGCTCAACCCAACTACCCATTGCAAGCAGCATTATTGAATAGTGTTTCTGGCCATATATGATGTCACAATTACTGGCAAAGACGTCGCCTTGATTACTGAATCTAATTTAACTTCAAAACTTAACGATGGTGCTTACAGAAACATTTTGTGTTGTTACGTTGTTTCTGGATGGAAAATGGAGCTTGTTTTTGCCTGAAAATAAAATTTAAAAAAAATCAGTGATGAAATACTAAATGTTTCAAATTGCAAATACCATTTTCAGGTCACTGTGATTGATCAAATAGTAAAATGCTTTGTTTTTTATTCACAACGTTTAACATAAGCTATGTTATAGTTGTGGATAAAAGAACTTAATAATATATAATTATACAGAATATATTTAGCATGACTGTATTAAGACATTGTAAGTAATTTAGAATTTGTCTTAAATCATATTTTGTAACCATCTAACGGAATATGATACTGTAACAGCATAAAAAAAACTGAATCAAGCAAATAAAAAAGTTTTCATAGCCTGATGCCATTACATACCACACACACACACACACACAACAAACAGGGCATGGAATTAATGGTCATAAGTATAAGTTTGAACAAAGTGTTTTAGTCAACAACTTTCACTGGCAGAAATTGTCTTATGTTTTGTGCTGCTAAAAAATTCAAATAAATTGTAATGCTCAAAAATCAATACTGCAGATCACTGTTTTATTTTTGCAGTTTTAACAGTGACCTCCTGATATGAAATGACATTACACCAAATATACTAATTATAGTATATGACATTGTGTTTTGTGTAAGTCTAAGGTACATCTTGCTTCCATAGGGCCTTTCTACGAGGGTGCAGATCATAGAATTTAGCAAAAAAGGAAGAATTACTGGCAATGAGAGTCACCATGGGTGGTTATAGTTCCCTCCTCCAAACGAAGTCCCTGGCCAATTGCAATTATCCTCCTATTTGGCTAAATTTGACTGTTTTGGAACCCACATTGCTATCCTAGTGTGAAAATCGACCTGTGAAAAGGGTCACCTTTCAAACATGCATAAAGGCTAAGAATCTGTTGTTGTTGTTTATTTTGCTGGAGTCAGAAAATGGAGCGTTTACACATGCTATAAGGTAAGCTTAGGCCACACCAATTTCATTTCTTGGTTAATGGATTCGCCCGCTTCATTTTTTTCTGATTTGCAAATAAAAATAAAAATTCAGAATCAACTGCAAAATGCTTATATTTTGCCCTGAACAGTTGAAAACAGTCACTTTCCACCTAGTTGTTACAGTTATTCCATCTTTCAATGCAGTGGTATCATTAAAAGTTCAAAATTCATTGTTTAAATTTTCAACCAGCCTGGTGTGTTGACTTGAAAGTTCATGGCTCCTATCGTACCATTTTGGGCCATAATAGGATGCCTAGGCCTGTTTCTATTTTTTTTCGCCCGCCCACTCCATTATTTTTCTAGAAAAATCCGTTAACCAAGAAATTAAATTGGTGTGGCCTTAAAGATTATTGAGTGTAACGTACTCAAGCGATCAGTGTCTCCAAGAGGTCCACCAGGTTGTGTGCCTTCTCCAGTCTCTTCTGTACCGGCTCTGGTACGGCCCTGGTCTTGGCCTTCTCCTTCTCCTCCTTCTTGGCCTTGAGTGTCTCCACAAGGCTCCTCAGCTCCTGGATGGCTTCAAGTTTTTTGTCTTCGTCGGTGTTCGAGTGGACTTGAGGAGAATTCTTCATCTCCTTCTTTTCTTTGATTTTGTCCAGTAGACTCCTCAGTTTCTGGATCTCTTCACGTTTCTTGGCCGCTACAGGTGTTTGGAGAAATTGATAGCACTTAGACAAGACTTCAATTCAATTCAAGGCATTTAATGTTATTACCTGTGTCGGAGAGAACTTGTAAATATTGCTCCTACAGTAACTTAAGTAAACTACTGAGTTTGACGTCTTTTTTGAAGACAGAGAATTAGACAAAGATCCTGAGTTTAGTTTTCTTTTCATCTGCATATTTCTTTCATAATACGAAGAAAATTGACCTATTAATCCAACAAATATTGATTTGATGACGGTTGGAACGGTTTTTGCAGCCCTGAAGATGTATTATGCTTGTAATAATTTGATTTGTGTGCATGTTTACTTGTAATACAAAGAAGTACATGACTTTGTACTATGCTAATAAGCTGGACTTACCACATACACTTCCGGCAAGTTCAGCATTGGCCTCCATGAAGGCGGCATCAGCACACCAGACGGCTGCAGAAGACGTTTTAGATTGTGTTAAAATATGAATACACCTCTAAATACACACTCTTAGGCCACACCAATGGACCTATACCATTATTACGTCACAGTTTGTTTACCGCAATGAATGCCGGTCAATCGACGTTTATATTGTACAGGGGTGCGTAGCGCGGTGTGTGTTTGTGTAGCGTTAGCCTGATATAAGGCTTTTAATACAGTACTACTTTCGTCTAATGTCACAACTAAATCACTCATGCGGCATGTAATGCTGTGTCAACACAACTAGACGCAGCAAAAATCAGACATACCTTACTTTGAAAACTTTGAAATGATCTCTATTCTTTAACTGACCGTTCTATAATGTTCTTTAGAACAGGTAAACAAACTGTGACGTAATAATGGTATAGGTCCATTTAATTTGTTGGTTCTTGGATTTTTTCAGAAGAAAGATGACGCAACAGGGCGAAAAAATAAAAACAGGTGTAGGCATCCTAAATGCTCCAATGCTACAATGAAGTCAACACAAAAGGCTGGGTTGATATGTTAACAATAAATTTTGAACTTGTAATCAAACCACTGCATTGATAGATGGAAGAACTGTAACAACTAGGAAGAACTTTCCTCAACTGTCGGGGGCAAAATATGAGCATTTTTTAGTTGATTCAGAACCAGGATCTTTTTTTTTTTCAAATCAAAACAAAAAACAAAAAAACGAAGAGGCAAATCCAAGAACCGACAAATCAAATTGGTGTGGCCTTATTGTTAAGATTTAATGAGTAAAAAGTTTATTCTACAGACTGTGATACTTACGTTTGCAAGATTGTCCGATGGCGTCAACCTGGGTGGGCGCGGCAGCCATCAGTCCTGGCAGCCATTCTGCCCACTTAGCACAGTCCAGTTCTATAGAGTTAACACATTCATTTATTACAGTACAAGAACTAAGATTATAATTATTATAACAGTATTGAGGTGTCATTAATTAATATAGTATTACTCATGTTGCTGACCGATTTTGAACAATGCTTCACCAGTTAAGCTGATCTCTACTTAATTGTAATGAATAAAGCAGACTGAAGTAACAAAATTACAGCAATACTTTACCAAAACTATACAAATGTTAGCTACTATGTACAGGTTCGACTTCTTCTCGCTTCTTAAGACAGACATATTTCTTTACATTTTCGTCCTTTTTGATTGATTTTGGCATTCTACGACATTGGAATCGCTTTCCAATGTTTTTTCAACTTATGGTACATATTATTTTTCTCATTTTGCAACTGTTTTGTACGATTTACGGTATGGTTGAAAACTTTTTTTTAAACGGCCAAAAATTAATGCGCGTGTGGATGTACTCCATATAATCAAATCAACATGGCCTAAGGAATACAAATTTTTCTGTTCTATCTATTATGAAGCTATCTACATACATCTACATGACGAAAGTTGTCTTGACTTGTATACAAGTATAGAGGGTATCTCTCTTATTTCTATACAATTCACCTTCCACAACAAAATGAACCTCGTCTTTAATTTTATCTAAATTACAATGTTGGGAAATTTTTTGCTGAAGAGGAATTTGTAACGTTAAGAGACTGAGATACTCACGCTGACTGACTGAGGCAGAAGAAGAGTGGGTCATGGAGGAAGAGGACATGGCTGCACCTGCATCAAACCCTGGTATAGGACAGTCAGAAAATCAGGTCATATGTTTGTTTTAATGTTATGCAATGCTAAAACAAGTCTTAGACTATGCAAAAAATTGGTTATTCAAGAAATTGGATATGCTTAATTTGGAAACTGTCAGACGTTTTAAGTAGCATCCACTACCTTTCGTCAGTGACACTAAGAGACCAGAGGAGAAATGTAGGTTTATAAGCATGAACTATTGATTTAGATGCAAATAAGTGGTTAAATCACCTGCACAGGTTTCCGCGTGTAAGCCCGCTTTTGCTTCAGCAAAGGCAGGATCTCGGCACCAAACCGCTGTTGGGTAGAAATGAATATAATAAAATTTTTAAAATTTGATACGCCTACCCTCAGATTTTGGTACTACATGTACATATTCCCCTTATTTGTAATCATTACAAGAATAACAAAAAAAAACATGATAAAGGAAGTATCGTATGCGTCATTGGATGACTGCAATCTCTGGCAATAAATGTAAAACTGGTATATTCTTCAATCTGAAACTACATGTTCCAACAAAGTTTTAACGTAAAGATTTGATTTGATTTGATTTGATTTATTAGGCTGAATAAGACATGTATATAGCCAGGACTGCCCAACTAGCCGGAGGCTATTATAAAGGGCTAGCCCTCACAACAAGAACATAAACAATTCGGAACAGTTAACAGTGTCAGTTACAATTCAGATAAACATACTATTACATAACAGATGTTGCGATCTAACGTTATGTAGTAGATTATCAGTCTAAAGCTACGGTATGTACATTTTATTTTATTAAATGGTGTTCTTTATGGTACAAGGACCAATGAGTGTTAGTATGCATCTCAGTGGTGTATATTCACGCCATTTTAGGATATTAGTGTAAGTTGCAACCATTCCATGCCTTGAACTTAAACTTTAGTGAACAGGAAATGCAACCTTAACAGGCATGCAAAAATTTGCATGCCTGGGAACTTTCACAGGTCAGATGAGACAGTACTTACGTTTACAGCTTTCTGCCAGCTGAGGGACCATGGCTGCATGTGGTCCATTCATTAACCCATCAAGCCACTCACTCCACTTGGAACAATCCAACTCTGTTGGTGAATCAAACATGGTTTTATGGTCCCATAGGAGAGATCTTTCTTTTTTTTATAAATCTATGCATTTTGAACTTAGGCCATGTTGATTTGATTATATGGATGACATCCTCCGGGAGCCCCAAAACTGATGCGCGCGTGCGAATAAAAAAAAAGTTTTGCAAAAAAAAAAGTTCTTTTTCATTCTGAAATCTACGTGGTCATGAGGGTTGAGCAAATGGCACAGAATATGGTTTGGCGAATTATCTAGTCTTCAAGTTCATTTCTTTACAATTTCGTCTTTTTTTCGTTTGATTTTGGCATTCTACGACATTGGTATAGTTTTTATTATTTTTTTTTGTAACTTATGGTATACTTTTGCTCATTTTGCAACTGTTTTGTACGATTTACAGTATGGTTGAAAACTTTTTTTTTTTTTTGGAAACGGCCAAAAATTCATACGTGCGCGGATGTCATCCATATAATCAAATCAACATGGCCTTACAATTGTTAAAGGCATCCAGTGCAGTTTTAAGGGCTTGGAAACCAGATTTTTTAAAGCCAATTTTCCAGTCATTTATCTACATGCTGAGGTGAAACCACACTATCTCAATGTATATTGACCCTTGTGGAGCAAAAATTCCCCAGATTCTGATGGGAAATGGGTACTGGAAAGGCCCTGGGCTACTTTTTAGGGTACTTTTAATATAGAAAGTTTATTGCAAATTCATGCCCAAGGGCTAATTGCAAGAACATGATAACAACAGTAAACAGTAGAATGATAATAAGTGATGCTAATGCTACTTTATATATACATTTGTAGTTATTGTTGGGTTTGATTTCTTTTCCGTGTGCAGTGGAGTATGAAATGGCCGACGTTTTGCGAGATATATGAATTGGGAGGTGTTAATAGAAATGCAGTTTTTTGTAGGCTGGGAAGGTGAATAAAGCTGGGGAACATTTTGGTGGCCATTTCAAATAACTGATCTCTTTCGGTACTATAATGAGAGCAATGACAAATAAAGTGCAATAAACTATGATGGCGCCTGTTGTAATCACAAATGTATTGTACTTGCCTTTTTATAACTTCAAGTTAGCAGTTAGAGTTTTATAAAGACATTAATTTTGTATTGACAGTTGATGTGATACACGTACAGGTGTGAATGAATGCTGCGTAGCTGCAAAGCTGGTGTGTGCTACCCAAATGGCGGTTTTATTCGTTGACCAATAGACCAATCTCACAGCTAAACTTACCTCATTCAAAATGTAGAAAGGCGAAATAAAACATCCTGGTGTAAATGTGCCAATATTGGACGGCATTAAGCCATTCTGTTATTGTTCTAACTCAGGTAGTTGCCATTTGTTGACATGGGGAAGCGAAGGTCAATCAGCAATGGTGATTGTGATAGCCCCCCCCCCCCCTCTGTCAAAATTGTTTTTTTTTCACAGCCAGGAGTTATCTTATATCTAGGTCACTATTCAAAACCAGGGCCTGTGCACCCGGCGAGCATTTTTTGCATTACTGGATGGGCTGGCAGCCTTTTTTGGCTCCGTGTGGGTGTCGAGTAGATTTCAACTCGAACTTAAAATCACCCCGGCATCTAAATCGTCAACATGCCCCGTTGGAAATGTGACTCCAGCATTAGATACTCACGCTCAGTTGACATGGATGTTGAGCCGCCTGCTGCACCACCAGAAGTGTGAGTCATGGACATGGAACCGCCTGCCGCGCCGCCTGCCGCACCGGCATCAAAGTCTGGTACAGGAGAAAAACAAGATTCAGTCAGAATTCATTATGAAGCAAGTTTCAACTAAGGTCACAGCAAGTAATTTTTATGGATGAAATAAGCGCTCTAACCATTGCACCACCGAGGCATAGTACTAGTAGGTAAAACGAGTTTTTTTTCCTAGGAGGTAAAAACAATGTCAATCAAGAAAAAAACAATCTCCAGCCGGTGGCACTTTGCAACCCAAATATAGCTTCAATTAGCATCACCAAAAACGAATGTTCTCCCCCAGGCACAATAACATAAATGTTCCAAGCTAAAACTAAACATGCTGGGAATATTGTGGAATTACCTGCACAGGTTTCCGCATGTAAGCTCGCTTTTGCTTCAGCAAATGCAGGATCTCGGCACCAAACCGCTGTTGGGTAGAAAAAGAAACAAAAAAAAATAAATTTAGACTCTTTGATACGTCTTCACTGGTATACTACATGTTTCCTCTCTCTTAAAGATTATTTAGAGCCATTGATAGAGTAACAAAAAACAAAATAAACATGATGGTCAAAAAGTACTATATGCCTGAAAGTGTGAAGCCCTTAAATTCTTCAATATGAAACTGTATGCTTCTCCAAACTTCAAGATAGAATACGTTGTCTCACTATCTGATAATGGTCTAAAAGTATGTGGTACAAGAAATTGTTAATTAATACAGCTCAGTAATGTATTAACGTGACTGGCACGGTTTTTTCTGGTGTAATTCAACACAATGAATCATTCAATTTGGCAGAAGATCTTAGACTAAATTCATGTTGCAACCATTTCACACATTGTTAAACCTCAACAACCAGGAAATGCAACAGAAATTAAAAAAAAAATTACTTATGACATTTTTACAAAACAACTAGTTTGATGCTTTATAGCTAACACACAGTATGTATAATTATCAAGACTGTATCATGCACACTACAGTAACTGTTTAAGTTTTTATGCTCACGTTTGCAGCCTTGTGCCACTTGAGGGATCATGGCTGCTTGTGGTCCATTCATTAACCCATCAAGCCATTCACTCCACTTGGAACAATCCAACTCTGTTGTGGGAACAAAATAGAGGTCTTAGGATAGAACATTCTAAAAACTTCAGGTCAAGAAACAAGAGATGCAGTTAGAAAAGCTGACCTGGGGCCAAGATGGGAATAGCTGATTTTGTGTGATGACGATGTATGACTCAATAAATTGGACACCTTGATGACTTGAATTGGACCAATAGGAGCGATCTCTGTTTCTGTTTACATCATACATATGCAAATTATTTGAAGACATTGCAAATCATTCGTAGGCAAATCAACCAATCGCCACTGGATGTGGTGTCATGGCTTATAATCATTTGCATGCTAACGTTCCAAGAGGGTTACTAATAGATAAAACCGGAGGGCTGGACAGGCCTGGCGCAAAGAACATGCATGACAATGGGCCTGATGATCCTGCTGCAAATTACGTCTTACCACCCAACACCCAACTACTGAAAGCTACATTGTGGATGCGATGTACTTAGTAGCTAACAACTGTTTTCAAAGAACGAACAGCTATATAATAATCTTAATGATTGTGGAAAAACTAAATTATGTGAAATGACTAAACTAACATGATTTTTGAGGATCCCATTACTTTGTGGTTTGGTGTTTTATTTCTTGATAAAGTAGTAGTAACACAAATTTGTGTTACTACTACTTTATCAAGAAATAAACCACTGAACCCCAAATTAATGGGCTATAAAGGTGTTCAGTTTTGTTTCATATTTAGTTCTTATCTCCGTGTCAAAGGCTTTTAAAGTCTCAGGTTTTGTCTGTTTCTTTGCCTGTCCGTGCTTATTTCAATGCAATAGTCTCAAGAAGTGTTGGGGGATGGTGTAACTGCAGACTGACAGGAAGGTCAAATTGGTACTTACGTTGAGAGGATGACTGCATGGAAGTCTGTGCGTGAGCCTGCATGTAAGCCTGCATGGCTGTCAAGTAGGTTTGGGCCACCGCTGAAACAGATGAAATATAAAATATGTTCTACTTTCTTAGCATGAATATTCATCTGTGTTGGTACAAAACATTATGAAATAAAGACTAAGCTTGACTCCATTAACCTTGTTCACGGAATGGACCCGTCTACTCTTGGAACTTGACGTCAATCTGGCACGTATGACCCGCTACTACGGTCACGTGTCTCTGACGTCAAGTTCCAAGAATAGACGGGTCCATTCCGTGAACAAGGTTGATGGAGTCAACCGAAAATTTGGGGTAAGTCCCAATTCTGTATCTAAGTGTTGGAAGTCAAAGCTTAGTCTTTATTTCATATGTTCTACTATGTCCTTTCTCCTCATAAAAACCCGTTTTTTTTTTTTGCAATGGTGGATGTAAAAAAAAAGAAAGAACAGAATTAATTCATATATACATACATACACGCACACATACAATGTCTGGAAAGCAATCTCCGTACTTTGTAACCCAGTCAGTATCAGTATAATTTATCTAATGTCTTGGGTTGGTGCATGGGACTTGACTGTGCACTGTTATATACATGTATGTCAACTCACTGTGTTGATAATATATGTTAATTGTATTTTGTGTGGCGCTGTTAAAAAGTTTAAAAACTTGAGTGCAGCACCAAGTCGTCCTTGTCCTTATTGCATTGTGTTGATGAGTTACAGTAGTTGAATTCGTCTATTCCTACCTGGTTCCAAGAGAGGGCTGAAGCGAAGCCCAGCTCCCCCGGCGCTCCATCCGCCCGCCACGGTCACAATTCTGATATACTGACAGGTGAAAGCAGTAGCGAAGGGCTGGAGGTTCTGGCCGTCTCCATCAGTATTGCCTGTAATCTCCTGTAGCAATACGTGATATGGTTAACGTTTGTGAACAAAAGATAATCTTCAAACTAATAATAGGTTGAACTCGTTCTTTTGCTCAATAAATAAGCACATCGTAAACGCTCATTCAACAGATACGACCATATCTATTTATTAATCTCTCTTATTCTTGACTTTTAAAGCAGAAATAAGCAAAATGCGCCGATGAAGGTTAGACATCCAGGTAAGACTCAGGAAAATGTTACTCAAGCAACTGGATAGAGTTTGAAAACTGTCAGACGTTTCAGGTAGCGATTTCAATAAAAATCAGTCACTACAAAATGCACTTGATGCTACTTGAAACGTCTGACAGTTTTTAAAATCCATCCAGTTCCTCAATGATCAACTCATTTCTTCTGTCAACGCAATATTGTCAATATTGCGACAAAGTCATGATTAGAATCTTTTGGGTTAGAGAAAACAGAAAACAATTTTTTTTTCTAATTTTACTTTAAAAAAAAACAAGAAAAAAACAAAAAAAAACAATTTTTAATAATTGTTTTCTGTTTTCTTCATGACTTAAAAGTCATAAAGACCAGACTTAAAACGTACCTGTTCATAGTCTGTCCAGGTTGATCCATCCATGCTGTGCTGTATTTTGAACTTAGTCAGCCAGCGGGTGCCTCCTCCCTTTGTGGCAACGCCGCTGATCTTGAGAGGCTGTGTCAGGTCGACCTCCAGGAACTCCCCGGCCTGATCTGTGCTGGGAGCCCAGAAGTGAACCGTCCCGTCCTCCACCACCTTGCCGAGGTTCCCGTACACGGCGGCATGGCCTGCGTCCAGCTCCGAGGAAGCCGAGAAAGACGCGTCCGGGATGAGGTTACCGACCATCGTCAATGCTGGAGACAGACGTTTAGCAAGGTTTAATAGATACAAACATAACATAACACTATCAATATATTGAAAGTCTACTTTCTGGTCATTTGGTTATATAAAATGTAGTAATTTGAGTTAACACGAGTACTGAAATCTGTGAGAAAAAAATGCAAGGTCGCTGAAGGAAAACGATTTCTTGTTTCGGAAGCTTAAGTAGGCTGGTTCTAGCTATTTATAGCTTGTCTGTTTCCTTGCTTGTATGGCTATGGTTATTTAAATACACAAGTCTCAGGAAGTGATGGAGGATAGTGTAACTGCAGACTGACAGGAAGGTCAAATTGGTACTTACATTGAGACTGCACGTGAGACTGCATGTGAGCCTGCATGTAAGCCTGCATGGCTGTCATGTAGGTTTGAGCCACCCCTGAAACAGGTGAAATTAAAAATATGCTATATTTTTTCTCCTCATAAAATACCTATGCATACATACACAGACACACACACGCACACGACCAAATGGCATTGATGATGGTAATGTCTTTCGATTAGAACTACCATATCCTCATGTATATAACAGTGGCACTTAGGAGTCTTTGTCATGTATCACTGTTCTTTTACATTTTAGAAGTGTTCATAATAGCTACTAGTACCGTAGTTATCTCAATTCACGTTAGAATGAAAAAAAAACGAGTGAAAACGCTGAAAAAGAGTGACGGGTGTCACTCAAAACGACCGGAAGTAATTTTAGTAGGAGAGATTGAATTGTCTTTAAATAAGGGTGAAAAATGGTTGAAGAGATTCATTTGTCACGTATAGATACAGTTACTAGAGGATTCTTTCAGCAGTGACAAGTTTTGGAAGAGTGAGAGTACTAACCTCCAAATTTTCGATGACTATCAGTCCATCTTGTTCACCGAGTTACACCGGACCGAACATTGGGAGCTCCCTAAGACATACTTACCCTTGCCCCGGAAGGATGCAATGGGGAGTAGGGCCCAGCAGACCGATGCAAGTCTTGTGCCTAGTCTCGCACTCTCGCGAGACTAGGCCACTCCGTGAACAAGATGGACAGTCATCAAAAATTTCTAAGTAAGTATTCTTACCCTTCAAAAACTTGTCACTGCTGAAAGAATCGTCTAGTAACCGGGTGAAAAATGAAAAATAGGATTCTATTCCTACCTGGTTCCAAGAGAGGGCTGAACCGAAGCCCAGCTCCCCCGGCGCTCCATCCGCCCGCCACGGTCACAATTCTGATATACTGACAGGTGAAAGCAGTAGCGAAGGGCTGGAGGTTCTGGCCGTCTCCATCAGTATTGCCTGTAACCTCCTGTAACAATACGCGACATGGTTAACGTTTGTGAACAAAAGGTACTCTTATAGTAGTGAGTAAGATGTTGAGCTGGTCAGGTGAATCGCTATAGAAGCACCTCGAAATCATGAAAACGTTAATAATTGAAACTTTATTCGCAAAATCATGCCCGAAGGCTAATTGCTTTTACAATCAAGTATCAACAGGAGACAGGTAACAACTGTCTGGGAAACTTCTACTTCTACTTCTACTACTAAGCTATTATGGGGTTCGACTTCTTCTTTGAAGACAGTGGATAATGAATAGTCCCACATTCTGCATAATTAGTGGGTTTTGTGATCTTAATGGTTACGATCTTACCTATATATTAATAGAAAGGGATTAAATGCTATCAATCTTGACTATAAAAGCAGAAATGATAAAAAAATATGTCAATTATGGTTAGACATCCAGGTAATACTCAGGAAAACTGTTGCTTAAGTACTGGTTAGAGTTTGAAAACTGTCAGGCGTTTTACGTTGCATTTACTATATATTTTCTTTATATATGAATGGTTTATTTCAGTTGATACCTCGCAGCCACTTGGCTGAATTACGTACAACTTACAAAATGTCTCTAACTGAATCACATCCAAATTATAAGTGTTACACAGATTACGATAATTTACGGAAATTGTAAACTATAAATTTGCAATAGTTCCACATATGATCAATTTCTTTCAAAAAGTCAAGTATTAAGAGCAGACAAATTCAGTATCAATTAGTTCTAAAATCTAAAATACTACACACATTTCATTAAGAGAAGTGGCATTAAAAGTAGTAGGGAATCCTTATATAATCATTTTCTTTGAACATTTCGATATTTAAAAAAGACAACAACAATTTCGATTACTAGTAGTTCTAAAATCAAACAAACTACGCACATTTCATTGGGCGAGTGGCATTGAAAGGATTAAAGATTGCAGGAGAATTCTGGACAAGGAAAATCGGTAGTATTTAGCTCTATTAACAGCTATTGAGTAATCTTGTTAGGTACGGAATGGGGGAGTCTCTGTATCTCTTAGTTTTTGCACTTAATAGTTCTTAGTTTTGTTCAGAGTTACCTTCGGGGTTTTTGAATGCCGTGGCTGTCTCCAGTTCTCGGTGGGAGCATTTTCTGGGCTCAGGTTTCTGGCAAATTTTAGGCACAGATCCACCCGTCGTTCTTGGAGCGACTTCAGGCCTGTGTTGAGCAGAGCGCTCTTGTAGTCGGTGTAGTTCATGCCAAGAATGGTTCGTAGTGCTCTCCTCTGGATTCTTTCTAGTCTCGTGGTTTGTGTTGCTGTGAGACCAGAGTGCCACACTGGCACACAGTACTCTAGCACTGATCTGACGTAGGTTATGTATATTTGTAGTAGGTCCTCAGTGGATAGGCTGAAACGTTTAATTTTCGTAGCATGGCCAGCCGTCCGTTAGCCTTATTGATGGTCTTGTCTACGTGCATATCCCATTTTAGGTTCTTTTGGATCCAAACCCCAAGGAGACATGTGGCACAAACTACCTCTAGCTGCGTTTGGTTGATGGTGAGGACTGGAAGCGGGGGTGGATATTTCATAAAGCAGATTACCATTGCTTTGCATTTGTCCGGGTTTAGCAGCATGTGGTTGTGAAGGGACCAGTCTTGAAAGTTGTTTAGCTCCATCTGCATCACTGAAGGTTTGTTGTATCTGTGTGATTCCGCCAATGATAGATCATCCACATATTTCCAGCGCCCAACGGATGCTTGTCTCATGGCATCGTCGAAGACGACCAAGAAAAGGAGGGGACCCAACAGTGTCCCCTGAGGGACGGAGCATGTGAGAACCTCCCATTCAGAGAGATGACCCCTATAGCGGACTCGCTGACGTCGTCTGGTCAGGAAGTTACTGATCCATGGAATGATGCTCGCCCGTGTGCCTAAATCAATCAATTTCTGTATAGCTATTGTGTGGTCGATTCTATCAAAGGCCTTTGAAAAGTCAGTCATGGCCATTGTGCACACATTCTGTGGTTTCTCAGATTCTTTGCAGAAGAAGTTTATCAGATCAACAAGATAGTGGGCTGTGGAGCGTCCTTTTAGGCATCCGAACTGCTGTGGATCCAAGGATGCTCTGATGTCCGAGGTTACCCACTTTGTCACAAAGGATTCAGCTATTTTTGCTAGATGGGATGTGAGGGACACAGGTCTCAGTTTGTCAGCCGACGGTGGGTGTGATTTGGGGATGGGAACAACTGTTGCATCCTTCCAGATCTGAGGTACGTAGCCCTCAATCAAGGATGTGTTGATAATGTCCGTGATAGGTGAGCTGAGTTCGTAGGAAAATTCCTTCAGAATTCTGGCACTTAGTTGGTCTGGCCCTGTCGCCTTGCTGATTGTGAGTTTTCGGAGACAATTGTTAACTTCCCATGGGTGTACCTCTGGTGGGCCTGATTGGATGGGTCGGTATGCCGGTAGATGGGCAGGATCAAGGCTCGGCCTTCCCTGAGCCACATCTGCGAAGTTTTTGTTTATATAGTTCGCGATGTACGCGTCATCTGCTTCTTCGTTGTCCGGAATATTTACAGACAGTTCTGTTTGCTGCAGGTTTAAAATCGACCTTATTTCTCTGTACCAGGCTGCAGGGTTTTCTTTCTTTAGGTTTTGTATTCTGGTCTGGTAAAACTCCTTTCTGGCTTTCTTTATTTCTCTGCTGACTTTGTTCCGTAGTTGTCTCCATAATAAGGTCTTCTGTTCGGCAAACGCCTTTTGTCTCTTGCGGATCAAATTTTTGATTTCTAGTTTAAGCCATGGTTTATCCCTGCTGTGCATCTTCACGGTCTTGGCTGGGAAAAACCTGTCAGTGGCTGTTTCAATAGTGGCATAGAACGCTGCAGTTTTACCTTCACAAGTTGTGGCAGTAAAAACTTCCTCCCAGGGATGAGAACAAACCCATTGTCCGAAGGCGCGGCGGCCTGAATCACGGATGGGTCGGACTGTCTTGGTTGCAGTACTACTTTCCCTCTTTTCTGCTTTTGGCTCCCACATGACCCATCAGTCACTGACGAAAAGTAGTGAATGCTTCATGAAACGTTTGACAGCTTTCAAAATCTATCCAGTTGTTCAATTTTTCTTGTGAAAATGCAAAATACTGCAAAAAAAAATCATGCCTACAACCTTATTTTGGTTCGGGTAACCAGAAAACCTAAGTTTTGAAGCATAAAGTTAGTGCTAAGAGCATACCTGTTCATAGTCTGTCCAGGTTGATCCATCCATGCTGTGCTGTATTTTGAACTTGGTCAGCCAGCGGGTGCCTCCTCCCTTTGTGGCAACGCCGCTGATCTTGAGAGGCTGTGTCAGGTCGACCTCCACAAACTCCCCGGCCTGATCTGTGCTGGGAGCCCAGAAGTGAACCGTCCCGTCCTCCACCACCTTGCCGAGGTTCCCGTACACGGCGGCATGGCCTGCGTCCAGCTCCGAGGAAGCCGAGAAAGACGCGTCCGGGATGAGGTTACCGACCATCGTCAATGCTGCGGACAGACGTTTAGCAAAGTTTATTGCATTTACAGTAAGGCATTATTTTGCCATTTTGGATACTTCGTGAACTTCGAGTCATTTAGCATCTGCAGAATTGTGTTAATCCCAAAGGGGTCCTCGATTGCAGCTACATATTTCTTACATCATTTTTACTTATACTTTACAATATTAGCCCATCTAGATGTACGGTTTCTGGGATATGGGAATTAGTCCGTAATTAAACTGAAAGTCCAAAATTAAACAGAACACTGTTAATTATGGTAATGCTCGTCCTTACATTGCTGTTGTATAGACGTTGCTCCGTGCTGCATGGTCACCGAGCCACCATGCTGCAGTAGGGTAAAGCTGGCAGCAGCAGCTGTAGGAGATAACAAGACAGTCAGAAAATCATTCAAAGTACAGTATATGTGTTAGATGATATGTTTTTCGGTGGATACATAAATTAATTAATGTCATAAACAGTTTTGTAACTGAGACCATTAACTCATCTGATAGTTAAACCAAAAGATGCTGCCTTACTCTGAGGAGGATGCTGACTTACTCTGAGGAGGATGCTGCCTTACTCTGAGGAGGATGCTACCTTACTCTGAGGAGGATGCTATCTTACTCTGAGGAGGATGCTGCCTTACTCTGAGGAAGAAGCTGACTTACTCTGAGGAGGATACTGACTTACTCTGAGGAGGATGCTGGCTTACTCTGAGGAGGATGCTAGCTTACTCTGAGGAGGATGCTGGCTTACTCTGAGGAGGAAGCTGACTTACTCTGAGGAGGATGCTGCCTTACTCTGAGGAAGAAGCTGACTTACTCTGAGGAGGATACTGACTTACTCTGAGGAGGATGCTGACTTACTCCGACTGAGAAGTATGCGGACTAATTCTATCTATCAGAAAAGGAAACTTCTGAGGAGGATGTTGACTTACCTCGACTGATGAGGATGTTGATTCGGAAGGCGATGCCGCCCTCGCTCCACTCGGCTGGGAAGAAGCGCAGGTATCTGCAAGTGACGTCAGCGGGGAACGGCTGGATACTCGGAGCAGTGCCATCCGTGTTGCCTGTAAATACCTGGAAACAAGATAGAAACGTTATTATTACTCCGTGAAGGAGGTCAGGACCTCCGGACGTAGTATTGTGTTTGCAACTACTGCGATACCTTGTCAAGTGAATAATATGTAGGAAATGAAAGATATTGTTATGACTTTGTTCATCTATT